ATGACAATACCAGGTCTTTAATTTTCTTTTGAAAAGGATAAGTCGTATGCTTGCGTTAGATTACGTGTTTTAAGTATCTCTGCTTTGCCTTATAGAATTTAAGGCATTTTTCAGCCGAATGAATCATTTTCAGACACTAAACATAAAAAATATTTTCACTTTTTTGCTAGTATTTATGCAATTAAAATTCATTTATACATTTTATATGAACTTTATTATATGATTGAATGGAAAAATAATTTCAGAACTGCAAATATTGAATGGCCACTCCTTCATCAATTCAAAATTTGAACAAACCTAAAGGTTAAATTTCATAACATTTATGATATTACTTATGTTTTATTTATTTCAGTTAGAACGAGATTTAAAACTTTATTGCATTGGTCAGTAAGGTTAATAAGGGTTTATTTGCTTCAAACAGAATCAGTACTGTGCTGAATCAAAAAGTTTTTATTTTTGAAGCTTATAATTATATTTTTAGATGCTTTTGAACTACTAGAGGATGAGGAAGGTACACGTCAAGGTTTCTGTCATATACGTATTCAGCAGCGTACTGGTCGCAAAACTATTACAACCGTACAAGGAATTGCACCCGAATATGATTTGAAGAAGATTGTACGATACCTTAAGAAGGTTATTATTTTTCGTTTTAAATATCCTTTTATTTTCACCTATATTATCTTTACATGTGATATTGATCTAACTTTGATATTTATCACTGCCACTAAAATATTGTTACCTATAATTTTCTGCGTTCATTATAGTACATGTCTTTGTTTATATCATGATTATATGTTAATAATAATTCATTATCTATAAACTTGGTCCTAATATGGTTATTCTCTCATATTTAAAATATTCTTTTTTTTTTCATTTGTAGTAATGATTAGGCATATTATCGGCGAAATACAGCCTGGTCACATAGTGTTATGCAAAACATTGATATCAAAAAACCTGAATTCTGTTCTTGAACAAGAAAATTTCTACCCAAAGAAGAAATATTGCAGTGAAGGGTTGATCTTACGATACCAAAGGTCATGTCACGGAAGCTGTTATATGGCTTAATTCTTTTGCGCATTATAAATGTCTTCTTTATTCGAACATATTTTGTACCAGATGAATTGTTTCAAAGTGTGGAAGTAGCTCATTGGGCTGTATATGGTACTGGATATTTATCTTGGGAATGGATAGCATCGATTCGTTCTGTATTACATCCAGCTATTATTGGTTTACTATATTTCGTGGGTTGTGCATTAAGTATTGACTCGGCTGTCTTCATTATACAAGCACCTCGTGTGTTACATGCACTTCTGTTTGCTTTTTCAGATTATTTTTATTATAAACTTTGTAAACGTATTGTTTCATCTAATACAGCAAAATATGCTTTGATGAGTTATCTGTCAAGTTGGTTTGTGTGGTACTGTGCTCCTCGTACTCTTTCCAACACGTTAGAAACAGCTCTAACGATTGTTGCCCTTCAGTGGTATCCTTTATCTACTTCTGATCTTAAGCGATCGTGTGGGCCTTACATGTCAATTGGCTTGATAACTCTTTTAATACGACCTACTGCTATTCTTATATGGATCCCATTCGGTTTATGGCATTTGTGGAGAGCTGAATTACGGGTGAAACTGTTGCTGCATACTTGTTTGCCATCATGTCTTCCTATTTTACTTTTTGTTGTACTTCTGGATTCTGTTGCTTATGGTAAGTTTACAGTCACAATATGGAATTTCATTCGTTTCAATGTATTGGAAGGTGGAAGCGATCACTTTGGATCACATTCTTGGCATTGGTTCATATCGCAAGGCCTGCCAGTTATACTTACGGTGCATTTGATTCCAATGTTGTTTGGTATAATTATCGCTGTTCGAAAGCGTCTTATTCCACTTCCATTTCTGTGGATTCCTGTATTATATATAATGGCACACAGCTTCATTGCTCACAAAGAGCATCGGTTTTTGTTACCAGTTATACCAATGTTATATATTTTTGTTGGCATATTCTTTTCACATATTTCTAAACAACTGCGCAATTTTCTAATGGTATTATTAATGGTTGTCAATGTATTTCTGGCTTTGTACTTTGGTTTAATCCATCAAGTAGGCACTTTTTCTGCCACATCTTGGATTAGTAAAGATGCGCAGTCACGATTTCATGAAGAGAAACACTTTGTAGTGCTTCAATTGATGCCATGTTTTTCTTTGCCTCAATATAGCTACTTTCATAATTTTAATATCACGATAACAGCGCTTGATTGCTCACCTAATCTGCTTCACAAAGCGAATTATGTTGATCAAGCTGACTTCTTCCATGAGAACCCAAAACAATGGATTAGTGAGAATTTGAATGTAGTGAACAAATCTGATTACATTGTTTTCTACGAAAAAATCTATCGAGAGGTCCAAACTCATGTTATGTATTTGAATTTCAAAATTTGTGCTCATTTATTCCATGCGCATTTTCTATCATCTAATCGTCAGGATCACTACATTATTATCCTCTGTCGCTAATATTATCCTTATTGGTTTTTGTGCAAGAAAATATGATGGAATTTTTCTTACTTAAATAATTCCTGAAATACTAATTTTGCGTCTGTCATTTTGATTTGTTCGTCATGCATCATCTTTTGAGATGTACCACATTTAACGTCTCTTGGTGAAATTTAAATGATATTTGTTGGGTTAGCTCTTTCATTTCGTTTATTTTGTTTGATTCTTATAAGTTTGTAAATTTGCTGCAATTAAATTTCCACATCTCTTATTTGTTTTTCATGTATTATTATTTCCTATTTAAAACTATTATATATTTTACACAAATAGGAGTTGAAAAAATAAGCTTTTTTTTGCTTGTAGTTAAAGTTTTATTAGTATCCTTCTCAGTTTATCATTTCTTTTGCATAAAAATGTTTTCATCGTTATTGTAAAGAACTTATTATTTAACTATGTAGTATCGTTTTACATCATATTATTTTAATACAATGATGAAAGTTCCCTCATCGATTCTTAATTTAGCTCGTCACTAAAACATTGTTCCTCTGTAAAATTTGTGTCATTTATTTTTTCATACATAAAACTTTTTAAAATCTCTTTGATTATCTTTTCAAAACTGAAAACAGAGGCCCTCTCATTACTGATTAGTTGCTAGTTGCTGAGGATGTAATAATTTTATTTGAAAAAATCGCATTATTCGGATTTCAAAATAATTTTGTAACATATTGTTGCCATATAAGGTAAATTTCTGGGAAATATTTTGTTTAATGCATCATACAGATATCTGATTTTTTTAAAGCATTAATTTATTGTGAGAGGAATGGCTCGTATTTTCAACTATCAGATTTTTTAGGAATATAATTGTAACGGGACAACAGTGGATCATCCAGAATATGGAGAAGTAATTCAGCTCACTGGTGATCAAAGGCAGCATATCAAAGATTTTCTTTGCAGAGTTGGCATTGTAAAAGAAGAAAATTGCAAAATACATGGATTTTAAATGTATATGGACAGAATTATCTTTATTTTGAATTTGGCAACGTCTTTAACAAGTTATGGAGTTTTTTTCATTTGCTCTGCCAATTTATATTATGTTTCGTTTCCAGTTATATTGCCGCATATCTAACGTGGTCAGCGTTGGTCTTGGTAACAATCAGAAGATGACACTTTTTTAATGCATGACTAGCAGTAAAGTATTTATTTAATGGTGGAAATAACGATAAATTTGTCATTTGACTAGTTTTGGATTCTGCTGAGATAACAAAAATAAACAGTTGGCAATAATATTTCGCTCATGTAACTGTTGCTCATGAATTCAAAGAATTGATGTATTAGTTCAGAGGCGAGTCGGGAAAAGTGCTTGATCACTGGCTCTTGTATTGATAAAATTGATGCTGGTAAATGAATAAAAAATACTTCTATGTGCACGTTGATAGCATGGAAAGCTTTTCGCAACAAACGGAATTCTCAGAAATATAGCCAAGAAATGCAGGGATTTTTCATGTGTTAGCTGATATCAATGTTACTTTCAAACAGTTGGTGAAATAGTTCCTTGAGCAAGTCCAGGCTAGTTTTTTGGTTTGGAAAGGAATTACCTTCTTTGCATGCGACCCCCGACACTTCTACTCTGACACAAATAAGAGATGGAACGATTATTCTCAGCAAATTGTGGCGATTAATTCGTATGAAAAAATCAGAAAAAGTGAAAGTAACAGGTCTATTGAAGTTATTTTCATGCAGAAATATGCACTGATTGTGGATTATTTTCTAAACGAAAACTCAGAATTGTAAATTGACATTCGGTCACTTCGAATATCACTTGAGGAAGGTTTCAAAATCTCCGGTATGTTTTGGAAGTTCAAGATTTATCCTTTGATTGCTGGATTCTGGCAAATTTTTTGTATTATTCTTCAAAGTTATTGCTATTTTTGAATAATTTAACATTTGGAAGAAAGTCATTGGCACTTGCAGCCCATAATAACTTGAAAATGACAAAAATATTTTTCACAGTGATTTATGCCAGTAGACAAGTATTTACTGGTCTTCTAGTTCATTTTCCCCAAGTAGTGTGTATAATAAAATTAGTAATTCTTTTTTAGGGAATTGATAAAATGTGTGTGACACATAAAAGTATCTTTACATGTGCTATAATTCATGAAAAATGATATTATATCAGATTACTTAATTCATATTACAACTTTTCGCTTCATATTGTAAGCAAAAATTTTTCATTCTTGTACTCTTCGAGTCAAATTAAGTAAACTACACTGATGTTTGTAGAAGAATGCTTTTGTACTTATCAAAAATATTGAAATTTTATTGCTGTAAAAATCTGAGCATTTTTTTCTGCACTGTGCGTTTATGCCAATTTTATACAAGCAATTCATCCATCCATCATTCATTTAGCACTTTCTGCGTTTGTTGGAAATATTCGACAAGAATTTATTTGTGGCAACTTGAAGTAAATGTAATTTTGTTACTGTGCGAAATTGCACTGAAAAGTTGTAAGCTAGTAAATTCTTACGTATACATAACACTGCCAACGTCAATATTACAATTTTCATGTGTGAAAATTTTCGACTTGCAACATTAATAACATGCAAGTGGTTTATAGGATTTACATATGTAATTGCAGTCAAGGAATTCATTCATTGCGATCATTATATCCGCCGCTATTATAATTATAGAAGGATATTTGTCTTCAATTAGATAAATTATAATATTATATACGTGAATGGAATTATGAATTATATTGATTGAAATTGTTCATTAATTTTAGTAATGAAATTGATAATAACGGTCGTATTGAAGAAGTATTTATTGTAGTGTTAAGGATGGCAGTAATATTGTCGCAGTTTTCACAGCATAGTATTTATTGTAAAATGTCAGCGAGTGGTTTCTTTTCTTACTGTTAATTCTTTCAAAGAAATTATTTCATGTGAACACATAGATTCCACGTATCTTCTGTAAGGCTTCACTTCTCTTCTGTTGTGCTTTTCTATTTCTCTTTCTTTTAGTAATATCTTATTAGTTCGCGCTGAGTGCTACACTAATCTCTTTTATTTTGTTTAAAGAAAACAACAATTTTGATGGTTACCACAAAATTTATTAGCAAATTCATTATTATTAATTATTATTTTTATTTATCATTTATTATTATTATTATTATTATTATTATTACTGTTATTAATTATTTTTGCATGGTATAATGCCAATATATTCTGGTATTTGTTCCCGTTTTATTTTTTGATTTTTGTTTGAATAAAAAACAAGTTTACAGTATTAATAATTTATCGCAATTAAAAACATAACATCATATTCTATTATTATATAAATTATTTAAATTATTTAAACAAATTTCAGATTATTTGGTCGTTATTAATAGGAGTGCTGTTAAAAATGGAAAGTAAATATTGTAAATATTCGTAACTTTTCTATGAAATGGTAATTTTTTTGATATAATCTTGAGAATAAAAACGATCAAAACTAAATTATTTCTTTTGCCAATACAGTTTTTGCCAAATGCGACCACAAATACAGGTTATTTTGCTTAATCATATCTTTGAGACTTTTTTTCTGCTCATTTATATGCTTGTTGAATTTCAAATAATGAAACTGCGATTAAAAGAATTAATTCGTCTTTGACGTGCTGAAAGATCTATTGAGTTTGCTGTTTCTTTCTTAGTTTCACTGGGTCAATTTTAGTAAAGAATAGGAAATTTAATAATGATGTTGTATTTTTGAAAGATTAAATACATTTTTGCACCAAAAATTGTTTTACTTAAAGTATGCGAGTACAATTTTTGCAGCAAAACTTACAGTTTCAGAATACGAAGAAAGTTTTTTTCGAGTTATTCACTTAAATATGCAAAAGATTGCAAAAATAAACACTACTTAGATCCAATTTTATGGCCTAAACTTTGTCATAGTCAGAAAATTTGCGACACATTCATTCTTGCTAACAGTGCAAACATTGTTAAAAAGTGTTTTTTAAACACATGCTTTGCTTTTTCTTCAAGTTTTTTGCTTACAATTAATTGTCAACTATTTGAGCTGGCTGCTTTTCGATGGTCAAAAAATCTGTCTGCTTCAAATATACAAAATTTTTAATTATTAATTCAGTTTTTCGTTGAAAAAAATTAAAAAACTAACGACAAAAATAGTTTTTGTAATCTAAAATGTAAGATTTTTTTACAAAAATAGCACAGTTCTGTGAAACTTTTCGGGATTTCGCTCTCTTATAAAAA